TTGTCTGCCTCAGTGATCACTTGGCATCGCCGCTTGGGCAATGTTAATATTAAATACCTAAATAAAATGACAAGTGCTGTAGAAGGAATGAACCTCCAAGAAAAAATTTATATTGACAAGATGTCATGCACAATTTGCTGTGAGGGTAAACAGTGTATGCACAAACATTGATGCACTCTCTATTCTCTCACTCTCATAGTCCAATAGAAAAGGAATAACAAAGAAATACTGGTACATTTTACAAGCACTAAATCATAAAATTTAATTTTAAGATTTTGTCACGTAAACGTGACAAAATCTTTTGGACCACCTATTGGTTTGTTTCCCTCAGTCATCTTTTACGAGACCAAGAAATGGAGTATTGGATATTCTTATTTCGCCACTACACGAGAATGTGGATGACGACTGTTCAAGTGCATAGTGTTATATCAAATACGAATTGTGAAATAAATGAAGCTGCACTTGCTCGGGTTGAATGACCGGTAATGACAAAAATAACAAGCGTAATGCTCTCAGTTTCAACGAAACGTAATGCCGGCTGTACACGCTCGTCGAGACACCACGAGACAGGCCTAGAGGCGAGCGTTATTTAACATTGTTCTTAAAAACTTCGCGTTTTCTTTTATAAATATTATAACATGTATAGTTTTCTTTGTGAATAAACATTTAAAGTGTATATAAATATTTAGTGTACATAAACAGACATATAATTGGTGTAAATAAATAATAAATATTTTTTTGTATTAAGTTAATTTTTGTGTATTATGTGGGTTATAAAAATTATGTGATGTGATGGACAATAATACTTAAATACTTACATATTTTGTGACTGTATAAAATTGTACAAAGGTACTAATATTGACAATGTCGCGCACATGTTATAATACCTATAACCTGTTACGTATTCGTAATCATAACATAACACAGTTAAACTAATATTATAATACCTACCTATAATATGTTAATATTTTCGTAATTATAACATAACACAAACGCAAAACTAACCTACGCTATACTGTATACATATGTAACTAATTACAAAAATAAGCAGTTTTGAAACTAGTTACTCATATCCACGAAACTACGTACAACCGATTACGTCCAAGACGTTACGACCCATGTCTAGACAGGGCGAGTACGAGTGTGTACAGGGTGCTCTCGTCGCGTCGCGTCGCGTCTCGTGTCCCTCGTGCGCTCTCGGAAGCGTGTCGGTTTTTTGCGCTCGAGTCAAAGGGTCTCGTAGGTATCGCGATGAAAACCGAGAGCGAATGATGATATTACTTAACGTGTATAACATGTATAATCAAGCAGAAAAATGCAAACTGTATTATGACATTTTAATATGTAAAAAGTCAAAGGTCGACATTATAACTACACATCAAAGTCTCTACGAAAACGTACTTATATATAATCGTGAGGTTTTAATTGCTGCTAAAGAATATTCTGTATTTTGTGTACACTTAGTTAAAGAGGTAAAATATTTTGTATTTGTAATTTCTGATTTGTCTCAAGACGACATACGTGATTTTATTGTTAATAACTTTTTTTTTGATGATAATGTATAAAGAAGTGTAATACACTGTAAGAAAGTTTATTAAATACAGTATTTAATGATATTATTGATTTTTTTTAATTTCATTTAAAATATATTTGTACTTAAATTTATGAAGAAACATGTGTTTTTTCCGGAACTAGTTGAACCTCTCTTTTTCTTTACATAATTACAGTCATCTTTCAATAGATCCTGCTAAGTTTTACAAATCTCATAAAATATTTCATACTCTTAATACCGATATCAATATTTAAGTCTTAAGTGCCGGGTTTATTGAATAATTATTTACTTTATTTATATATATATATATATATATATATATATATATATATATATATATATATATATATATTAAATATTGTATAACAGGTAGTCGCTAACACTTTCGATATCGATAGTACGCAAGACGACACAAGTATGTGCGCGGGTGGCTGGACGCAGGGAGACACTACTTGGAGCTAGCGCGTCGCCCGTTGCTATGGTTTCGCTTCCCCGTATGTCATACCGCACCGCACTGTTTATCTTTCGTGGCGCAAGCCGCAAGCTATACACTATTCTATTCACCGTACATGGTACTATTACGGTAAATTAATAGAAACTATCCACCATCTCCTTCTTAGCAATGGGTTATTAATTTTATTTTTAGTAAATGTGTAAAAAATATAATAGTTCAAAGGCAAAACGCAGCAAGCGGGCATATGGAGTTCAAACTTCAAATGATACAATGAGTGTGTACATGGTGTGTTCTCCGTCGAGCCTTTACGTGACGAGAGGCACACGAGGTGACGAGATGAGCGTGTTCAGCCGCCATGAGCTACATACATCTAGGGTTGCCAGGTCTTTAAACCGAGAAGCCGAACAGACCATCCAGCTTTGCCAAACATTTTGGTAAAAAGGCCGGACACCCTTAATTATTCAGTCTTAGTATAACACGATAATATATTTTTTAAAGTAAAACAATGCTAACCTTATATCATTTACTACAAAATCTTAAATTAAAAGAATCAGTGTTCTTTATTATTAATCATTCAATATTCATTACAATATTAGTTTCAATAATTGCAATAGGTAGTATGTATTTAAGTACATGAAAAATGTAAAAAAATGGTCAAATATAAAAAGCCTGACAAATGCCGGACAGGCCTGCACACCGTCTAACTTGGCCGGACACGCAAACAAAAAGCCTGACTGTGTCCGCCTTTATCCGGACGCCTGGCAACGCTACATACATCTGTATACAATACAGTATAGCGTAGGTTAGTTCTGTGTTTGTGTTATGTTATGATTACAAAAATATTAACAGGTTATAGGTATTACAACATTAGTTTAACTGTGTTATGTTATGATTATGATTACGAATATATAACATTTTATAGGTGTTATAATTATAATATGCGCGTGACATCGTCAATATTAGTACTTTTGTACAATTTTATGGTAACAAAATATGTAAGTGCCTAAGTATTATTGTCCATCACATTACATAATTTTTATGATCCACATCTTGCGTGTAAGCCATTAACTATCCCGAAGGGACTCTTTACTCTCGTTGCGCGAGTCGTATATCGTGTTACGTACCTACCTATATTCATCTTAATAATAATCTGTTCAAAACGAAACGCTTACGTGAGCGCCGGTCGTGGTGTGTGTCAACTGCGTACGTAAAATAATCATTACATTTTGTCCACGAAACTGGGTATACGATTATCAAGCTCGTAAGCAGTTTCTGAAACCGATTATGTTAAATAATGCTCACCTCTAGGCATGTCTCGTGGTGTCTCGACGAGCGTGTACAGCCGGCATAACGGCCTGCATTTTTACTACCTACGAGTATACAAATTAATGAACATCAAAGTTGTAACTTTAGGGTTGCATAGCATATGTAAAATAAATCGATCATGATACAATCCAATGCCCGTATAGGCAGTGTTAGTATAAGCAACACAGTTGTTTGCTAACAGTCGACAGTCGCCGATCTCTTTACCTTACGCAAAATTACAAAGGGCATAACGGCGACATCTTGTCTCGCGACGAACGACGACCTTTACATATTCATTCAACATAAGATTTGTTTAGCTCATGCATTACAACATTAAGATTAAATGTTATATTGTACGTTTATTTTCTACTTTAAAGAAATACTTACAGAGTACGATTATAACTAGAGAACTAGACTTTGCCATAAAAATACTTGCTATTGCTATCGTTACTTTTACTCGTATTATGTCTATCGTATCATGTCCGATTCTTTTATTTCAGTAAAACTTCGTCCTCCATTACAATTATCTTTATTACATACATTTAAATAGAGTGCATGTAAAAGCCATTCTTACAACGAAGTAGGTATTTACCAGCATGCTTATAGGTAGACGTAATAAGGCATTTTAACGCCCTATTAAGTTGTAGAACTAGTATTTTATTTCATAAATTGTCTATGTACACGTAAAATGGGATTTAAGAGAAAAGGAACGTTTTTTAAATATCGAATGAAACCAGTCAACTTTTGTGTATATACTTTGCATGATCGTCGTAAATGTGTTGCTAGAACATTGTGTTAGATAAACACAATGTTCTAGCAACACATTTAAGATTTCTAAATTAGAAACAAAAATGAAGCTAATTTGAATATTTATTTACGTTACAAGCTATAGAAATCGAGTTAAAAAAAACTTGGCTATAAAAAGAAGAAAAAACAGCGATCCTATATTATACCATACCTACTTAAATTAGTGATTATACCCTTTTTTCTTTTCGTATGCTTGAACTCTAGAATCTCATTTTCCTAATAATTTCTTGCCAATTTTAAATTATTTTCATTCTTAATGATCTCATTGTGGCAATGACACTAAATTTTTTGAATGATGAAGGTCAACTATAATTAAGAGAAGTTTTAGATGACCAGTATATCCGGTTCCACATGGCATTGACTGGATGAAGACCAGTTTCAATAAACCACTTACATGAATCCACATCGATACTTAATAATGACAACATATATTGATTCGTAACGGCCACTAGCATATGTTCAATAGAAATGACTTTCACTCATATTTATCAATGTTTTTTTATAGCATTAGGTGACAAACGAGCACACAGTCCACCTGATGGGAAGTGAATACTGTGGCCCATAGACATCGTCATTTATCTTCAACTAAGGATCAAAATGCAAATGCGCCCCTGAGGACTAAGATGGCATGTCTAGATTCCAGTAAAAAGGGTCACCGGTTCTCTACACTTACCATACGAAACACAGTACCATTACGCTGGTATTCTGTGAGAGCGTGGTCCTGCCCCGGTCGAGCCGACCCATTCTTGCTACAACAATAATATAGCTGTTGCGTGACTCTACCACGTAAAAATTATATAATGATTGTAATTAAAATTATATAATGAGCCTAAATTTGTGTGCATTTAACTTAAAATTCAGTTGCTAAACATAATATTGTATATGTTCCAGGTGAGACCCAATGCTCGTGATGCTGCAATCAGACGAAAGTGTCAGATAGCCGCCGTGTGGCAACAAAGCATGGGTGCAAACATGGGTAAAAACTCGAGCCTGCTCGACGCGCTGCCCTCCACGCAGGGCACGCTGCACGTCGTCATGCTTGGTCTCGATTCCGCGGGCAAAACCACAGCGCTTTACCGCCTGAAGTTTGACCAGTACCTCAACACCGTCCCAACGATTGGTTTCAATTGTGAAAAAGTAAAAGGGACAATAGGAAAATCAAAAGGTGTCAATTTTCTAGTGTGGGATGTCGGTGGCCAGGAAAAACTCAGGCCGCTATGGAAATCGTACACGCGATGCACGGACGGCATTATTTTTGTACTAGACTCTGTCGACGTAGAGAGAATGGAAGAAGCTAAAATGGAACTTATTAGAACGGCGAAATCACCAGATAATGCTGGTGTACCTATACTCGTGTTAGCGAATAAACAGGACTTACCAGGTGCAAAAGAACCGCGAGAGCTTGAAAAACTGTTAGGCCTGCATGAACTTGTTTCATCACCGCATGGATCGCGTGACGCGCATGCCTGGCATGTGCAGCCCGCTTGTGCCATTACAGGAGAGGGGCTCCATGAGGGCCTCGAAGCCCTTTATGAAATGATACTCAAAAGAAGAAAATTTGCCAAGTTGCAGAAGAAACGAGTCAGATAAACTATACATATGGAATATTGTGCAACTATATGGTTAAAAGTTTATCAAAGTTTTGTACGTTTATGGATGTTAAATATCGGTTTATACGATGTAAAAACACTAAATATTGTTTTTACTGTATATGTACATAAAAGTCTTATGAAAATATTCCATCATAATGTTGCTCAAGTTATATTGAACATTTTGAAGGAAAATAATGTTTTAATAAAATTGAAATGAACAACTAGTCATTTTCTTTGGAAAATTGCTAGATAGAAGGTGTAAACAATAACGGATTAACTTTAGTTCAAATTTACAAAATAAACATACTTTACTAAAGAATTTGAAAGAAAAGGATTTATTTTAAATTCATTAGTAAAGCCACATGATATGTCATTAAGCATTGAAACTCTAAAAGTTTAGTTCTAGATACATCATGATGTGGCTCACACTTGTGGGACCATTTAGCTTACATAACGATATGTATGTATTTAATCTTTGTATAACTTTATGTGTTTCGCTTATTTTGTTAAAAGAAATAGTCTTGTAGAACATATAGCGCCTTCATCAATTTTGTATTTCAATGGCTTGTTATTTGTTTTTCTATCATAGCTCAACTCAACCCTTTTAGCATAAAGACGTTCTTGAATATTCGTTAAGTTTTTAAATACTCTTTTTTATAGCATTCGAAAATTCACGCAGTATACATACCAACGCAAAAAAAATTTATAAAAGTTATATTACAATAGTATTGAGTATACACTATGATAATTAATTATCACATTTTTCGGTTTATTATTTTAAAAACATTTAATTTCAATATTATAACTAGATTTTATAATCTGTTGGCATGAGCAAAAGTTGTTATTACAATAGATACCTCTTACTGCAACAAATGTGAGTTAACAGAAAATAATAATATAATTTCTGTTAATCCGATGTGGTCTAAGTAATTTAAATTTGTTTGAAACCAATATTCTGTAACTCAAGTAGAATTTTAACGGCCTTACTCATAAAGTCGATGTCAATGACGGCTAATAATCATCCGCTCACCAGATGTCGCTTTTTGTTGACACTGAGAAGTTTTTTGTTACACAACGTCATTTAATTGATATAGTTTTAAATAAAAGTTTATCAGTTTCTAGATTTTTGTCCTTATTTTTTTGCACATATTTATCTCTTAATTTTTTTAGTTTTTCTACTTTTATGAATATCTGTGGTTTAGTTTATTTATTCTTAATAATAATATAAAATATAACTGATGGTACAGATAGAAACATTAAACTTTATATTTTTCGAATAAATTAACTTCCCCGTTACGAAATCTGTCAAATATTATGATTTTATGTGGCGCGGCTCTGGTGACAGAAAACGTCGTGTATGTCCTCATTTAAGTAATGCTCATGCTTTATCTCTCTCTCTCTCTCTCTCTCTCTCACACACACACACACACACACACACACACACACACACACACACACACATACACACACACTTCTTTATTACAAAAGAAAGAGACATGTATAGAGATAATTGATCGTAGACAGAGAAACCTATAGAAAAATTGACGCCTTCTTTCGCATTCACACACGAAAAAGATAGATTTATGCTTACGTCTTGCATAGAAATGAGACAGAGCGGTGTGATTGTTTGTCCCTTTTTCCGTGCCGGTTTTTTTGTTTAGCAAACTACACTTTACTAAACAGCTTTGACAGTTCGTAGCGATCTAAAGAGTTTACAAGTTGGTTTAAGTGAGAAAAAAAGTGTTCTGTTAGCTTAAGATTGGTGAAACTTGTTCAGTTCATTTCTTAGAAGAATTAAAGTTTTTATCTAATCATGTTTAAAAGTCATAAAGATTATTTTATAACCTAAAACTACGTTATCGTCCTTTCTCACTCGAGGCCACGCTAATCATTAGTCTATTGATTTCTCTGTCTACGTAATTGATACTTAAATGCATATAAGGGATAATTTTTTATATATAATTAATTATTTATTATTAGTAAGGCCGTAAGTTTCTTACACTACGATTTTTAATTAAAAAAAAAGATATTATTGAAAATCATAAATACTCCGACGGCAATCAGAATTAGCTTTAGGAAGCGCCATATTATCGCACGCGTATTTTTTCCTTACAATAAAATATAAGATAACACACCACCGACGAAGACGTATCTAGTGACCCGTCGCACTTTAAAACCCGTTAAGCTGTTAGCTACAGAAGGTTACAAAAGAATAGACAAACGATCCACATGCGTATAAACTATAAACACACCCAAAATGCACTATGCATATGCGTGATTTTTTTAGTCTGGAAAAAATAGGGTGTAACAGGTAAAAGGAATAGAAGCCTTTGGCACTGATATTTTACAATTTATTTATGTTTTATATTACATTTAAATACTACTAATTTGAAATAAACTATCGGTGCTAAAAAATAACAACAAAATTTTTAAGCTAAATAAATAAATCAATTAAAAACTATCGAAATTAAAATAATACGCAGCCAATCCGTTTGTCTGTTAGCCTATTTTTTCCAGACGGTAAAAAAATCAATCACTATATTTTGATTCAGTCAGGAAAATACTCAATTTTCAACTTGCCGACCTTCTGCTAACGTGCTTAATTCCTCATAATGTATTAAGTCAGATATAACATTTTAACATGTTAAAAAGAGAAATCACATTAAAGCTTTAACTTGTCTGGACTAATTAAAAGTCATTATATCTAAATTGCAAATGTTTTTCCTATTTATTGAGAATGTTAAAATAAGTATTTATTTATTTACTCATAGAGATTTAGAAATAGGTAGGTATTAAGATCTTTGTAATAAAATGCTTTTACCAGAGTTTATTTTACTCGCCATGTAAATATGTAAATTCCAAATAGTTATTTGTCAATACCAAGAAACCAAACATTTATATTATTAGTAGATTATGTACATTTTGTTAGTAAATATTGTATTATTAAGAGCACACAAAATCAAATTATTGTGTTTTTGATATCTTCATTGATGATTTTAAACAGATTCCCTGTAATAAATTCTGTTTTCAATAATCTGATCTTTTATTTAAAAAAAAAACCTTTAATTGATTTGACATTTCAAATAATAAGGTCCTGTAGGTAATATGCAGGATCGTCGTTTTCATTCCACTCAGTGAACAACATCAAATAATCTTTTTGGGCTTCTGTAAGTGATTTTCTCTTATTTATTGAAATCTTTGGTTTTACGTATTTTTTTTTACATGTTTTCTCCTGTTTGCTTTTATCAAACGACAGAACAGGATCGCAAGCATTGACCGAGAATCCATGTGCCCGAAGTAATTCTCTCTCTAACCTACAAAAAAGTCTCAGTTCCCTTGAAGCCACAACAGCCCTTCTGGCCTTATTACGCTCTGTTTCCAAGCACACATTTATAGCACGACGGACTCTATCATTGTGAAGTAAATCTAATTGCTTCGTATAATCCATGTAAAACGTTTCTAAAGCTTTCGCAAGAGTTTTCATGTCTTTATTAATAGGTTTTTCATTAAATATCTTCTCATAACAAAATTCGAGGTGTAGGACTAGTCTTAAAACATCTAATGCTCCTACACTTTTATAATAAAACCCTTGCAATACCTTGAAAAATTTTTCTTTCAATAATATAGATCTCTCTTCACTAAATATTAAAAGATTTTTAAAGTATTTAATTGTACTAACAACAGCAGCACTTTCTTGGGCTATGGCTTCCTTTAAAGATGTTATATTTTCATTTAACATCTTTGTGTGGGGCGAGAAATGTGAAACATGTGTAAAGTGATGGACCTGTTGTTGTTCAATCATTTGAAAAACCTCCATTAAGTGTTTAGGTTCAGTAAAGAATAAGACCGGCTTAACGAATTCACCAAAACACTCTTTACGCAATTTTTCGTATAAAACTGTAAATGTATCTTCTTCGTTAGATCTTCCTAAATCGAAACCTCTGGCCTCTATTTCAACAGACCTGGCAAAATCTCTATGCATCGCGCGCCATGATGGTGGTGATAAATAATACAAAAACCTACCATACTTTTGTTGCAAGCTATATTTATAATCTAAACCTAGAAGCTTAGACGAAATCATAAATTTTTGGGCAGCTAAGTTTTCTAGTTCTGCCTTCGTTTTATCAACTTTGGATACTAATTTATCTGCTCGTTCCAATAATACCATTGATTCCCGATAGTCCTCAGATATAAATTTATCAAAGTAATTTGCTTGTTCTGTTAACTTTTGTAAACTTAAATTATATACATCCAACTCTTTCCTCTGATTAACATCAATATTTGAAATGCAATCTTGTTTGTATCCTGTTTTTTGCCTTAATCTTACTTGATTATTTAGATATATTTTTAAAGATTTATATTGAGCACTTTGATGTTCTACCCTACGACCTTTAACACATTCATAAAAATGTTCATCAACGTCCAATATGGTACTAACTTCATTTGAGGGATTATTCATATGCAGGCGTTTTCGCAGGTCTGTACTAATAATTTTATATTTATCAAGAACACATATCGCTAGCCGCTTTTTGTATCTGTACCGATCCTCCTTTTTTAAGTAAAATTTATAGGATAGTAAAGCACAATCATTTTTAAGGGTAAATGTCGATAAAGGTTTATTTTCAGGTAAATCATAAACTTTTAAAGTTGTCTCCCGAGGCTTATGTAAAATTCTTTGTTGCTTTCTTTTCCTAATTCCATCCATTGCACGTTTTACAGTCATACGACTTTCCAGCTCTGAATACTTTTTGTGCCGAGATACATGAATAATTATAGAATGTACAGAATCCATACTTATAAAATAAAACAAATATGTAATAAATACGTTACTTTGAAATCTTCTAAATAACAAACTTGTAAATAAACCAACTAGATTTTGAATGTGATCTATAATATTTATTTTATTTACGAATACAAAACTCGTTATAATTATAATGCCTTACGACACATCTGCCATGTAAGTTTTATGTGGTAGTAATATTTATTAAGATAGATATGGGTATTCATACTTTCACTCCCCGTTTCTATTCAATAACTTTCTGTTGCATATTGACCAGATTATATCGATCGAATTTTTATCCCATAACGTTTCATTATACAATTGTGTCCAAGAAAAAAGTAAAGTTACAGCCTATATACGTCCCACTGCTGGGCACAGGCCTCCGCTCATTTCTGAGAGGGTTTTAGGGCAAGGAATTGTCCGCCGCGCTGCCCCAATGCGTGTTGGTGAACTTCACATGTCTTCGAAATATATTTTTTTCTTATTTCTCTGACATGCTGGTTTCCTCACGATATATTCCTTCACCGCCGAGCACGTGGTAAATCAGCACTTAAAATTGCAATTAACAATTTCATTGGTGCCGGCGGGGATCGAACCCGGTTTGAAAGAAAGAGGTGTCCAAGAAAGAGGAGCTATAAAAAAGTTTTTTTGTTTATCTTTCTGTAGTTATCAATGTAGAAACATTATTAAGAAACTATAAAATTTATGTACGAAAACAAAATTATTTTGACAATAATAACTATTTTTCCTTCCGAAGCACGTATTCAAAAACGGGTTTTACGTGATTATAATATTCATTAAGATATGGGGTTGGATCCATTCCTTCACACCATTCAGTGAATAGTATTAAACCATCTTTTTCATCTGGGGTTAATTTGTATTTTCCTGGTTTATCGACTTCATTTCTTTGTATTTTTGATTTATCTCTTTGAACATTTGCCTTTTTATCTTTTTTACTAAGAATTTTGACAAACAATGGCTTGGAAAATTTTGCAGGAGGTAAAAAAGCTTTATTCATTGCGTTTGTCATTTCCCAAAACGCCTTAAGTTCTCGTTGGGCTTTATGTGCGTTCGACATTGTTTTCAAATCTTGAGAAAAAAATTCATTTCTTGCTTGATTAACAATTTTAAAATCTAATGAATCAAGTCGTAAGTTATAGTCTTCGTACATAACTTCTAATATTTTCATCGGATCTTGTAGACTTTGATGTCCTTCTTCAGATTTGCCAAACACCTGCTCGTAAACATACTCAATACAAATTTTTAGTTTTAGAGTATCAGGACTGGCAACACTTTCATAAAACGTATCGTTTAATATGCGAAAAAACTTTTCTTGCAAATGGCTTTCATTGTAATTTTCTCGAGTAATTTCGTAGTTGACAGTATCAATATAGAACTGAAAATAATCAAGTTCATGTTTCGTTGCTTGTTTTAATTGCTTAATTCGTTGTTTCAATAATCGAAACGGTATATTTGTTTTCGAGAGATGTATCAAATATTCTCTACTTTGTAATTCCATTGTGCGAAATAAATACATTATTTGTTCCGGTTCTTTAAAATATATATGAGCAGGTAAGGGATTTATGAATTCTATATTTGCCATTTCAACTATTTTGTCAATATCTAAAGTATCTATTAAGTCATTTTCTGTTGCAAATTGACCAGATTCGAATTGAATCGACTGAATTTTATCCTTTAATGTTTCATCATACAACTGTCTCCAAGAGATAGGAGCAATAAACATCAAAAATCTTCTGTATATCTTTAAAGTATTCCTAATAGCATCCAATTTAAATATTACATTATTAAGAATAGTCAATGTAGAAATATAACTAAGAAATTGTAATTGTTTAGAGTTCAATTCTGCATAAATTTTTTCAGCCTTTGTAACTTTCTGACATGCCTTTTTATAGTCTTCTGTCAGAAATTTTTGGAAATTCTGTATATGATATTTTAGATTTTTCATTATAATGTTATGTTCATTTGACTCTTCTATTACACTTTGATCAATATTTAAAATTAAATCACGTCGATAACCTATCTGTTGGCGATTCATTGCGTAACAACGTATGTTATTCAAATATACCTTTATATCATCGAAACTACGCAAAGGTCGACCTTCAATAACACTATAAAACTCTGGATGGATTTCGACGACTGCTTTTACATCATCAAGTACTTTGTTAATAAATAGTCTTTCAGAAATGTCCCTTGTTGCTGCAGATTTTAAATTATCTTTCATGTGTAATGGTTGAGATAATCTGATATTTGTATAATTTTTCTCGAGTTGGTCACTGTATTTAACGTACGAAAGGAGTTTTTCAGACCTTGGTATTTGGAAGGGTTTGCAAATCTTCCCTTTTGTTTGATTCTTCCGCATCGCATACTGTCTATTAGTAAAATAATACTGTGTATTTGGTACATACCGTCGTCTAAAAATTATATCTAACGTTTTTAAGGGAACCATTGGTTTTTGTTCTTTGTGTAAGCACGACATTTTTTACAATACCGTGTTTTATATTACAGAATACTCGAGAGTTTCTAAAATAAGTTTTTACCTTCTGTCAGTGTCAATGTCAGAACATAAAGATTCTTGTATTTGTTTGTATATTACAATAAACCCTTAGAAAATCAAAAAAGCTCTTATAACTAGATTCTATTTTATATTAATGAAATATAATATAAAACATTTCTATTACAGATATATTTTCCTTTTACTTCTAGAAAATAAACTTCAATATTTAATCTAAAAAGACTTTATAAACGGATTAAATATATATTTTAATTTGCCTTTTAATTATCATCTTAATTGGCTATACGAGCACGAAACCTACCCAACTGCAAAGAGGCGTAAGACAATTGACTTGTATCGTAAAACGTTTTCAAGCTACTGTACTGGAAAGGAAACCGTGTGCAATCTGCAATCGATGCCATATTTCGTCTTTGATTTTCCGACGATATATTCGTTATGATAGAATCGCTGGATAAACTTAGCATTATGCTCTATAGTATCTTCCAAAGAATAGTACCACGAGATCAATCGACTTATCAATTATCGCTCTTTCGATTATTACCACACACATTTTTGTGTGATGACACACGAAACTGAGACGTCCTGTCGTGTTGTCGTGTGGGAGCTTAAGATCGGCCATAGACCAGCGAACTATGGAAAAAGCTGTGTGTGAAGTTTCTCTGCGTGATAGAATGCGTAACGATAATATCCGCAATAGCTGGACTGAACTGAACCGACGTAGCTAAACTGGTCAGCTGAGCTGAAGTGGAAGTAGGCTGGCCATATTTGTGTATAAAATAGGGATACAAGATTCGAGAGTTGGAGACCTCCCCTAACTAGATAGAGTGACGGCTTGGTAAGATTCGATAGATGTAGGTGGCTCAGTACCGTACTTTATGAGCGTGCATTTCTTAGAGGAAATCTATATTCAGCAGTGGACTTGAGATGAGCAGTGTGTAATGATAATGCGGTACAAAAAATTTATTAGATACATTTTAACAGAAAATTGGCAAAAATAAATTTTGACGCCGGCTGTCGTCATGCCGAAAGCAAAACGAACTAAAGTCGAAATCATACTTCAAGTTTCTTTAATCCAGCGGCTACGGCCGCAGAAGCATTTATCTTTAGTAAAGTAATACTCATCTATAAGAGCGCTTATTTCACACATACGCATTCAGTAAGGCTCTGTCGCATTAATTTTTTACTTTTTACAAATCAAAGCAAATCAAACCTCCACAGCAAAAAATCCACGAATTATCTTGACAGTTGATTGTGTACTTAATAATTTTTATTTTATTTCTAATAACAAATAATAATAGTTATTGCATTAGTAACAAAACACTGTAGTATGAAAAACAAAGGCAAAAGTGGAGTGTGTGAAGAGGCAAACAAAATCTGCTGAAGCCCAGGTGCAGAACTACAGAATTGGTGACAAGAAATATATCATTAGATGTGATAATCGGACTAATGGCGGAAAATCCATCTAAACATGCTAGAAATTTCCGCGGCAGTCTCTCACAGCTGCTAATGGAAAGCCACATTTCATTGCGAGAATATCATCTCTGACTCCGCTACTAAATGTCTCATCCAGTCCGGCACCGGATTCTAAGAGCTGCTTTGTCAAGGATCATAATTATAATATGTTGCTCTTATTTCAGTTTCCCTCTGTTGCCCCTTACAGTACCCATAGGATAATCTGGGATTGTGGATTCATCAAAGCCTGCATCCGCCGCTTCTTCAGAAAAATAACACGCATTCGCACACATATTCATCTAAAATTATTTGTAACTAACAACATAATTTTGCGAGGAGGCACATAACATATATGTGGGTCCAGCAGAAAACTTTAAGTGGATGTTAAAGAAAGAAAGAGAATGTAATGTTTGTGTCAAGAAGTTGAGCATGATTTTTGCGTCATTTCAAATGTAAGCAGCGCTCGGTCTATCTTTATTTTTTATCCATATCTTAGACCTCAAAAGTAACAACTCATCAGCATTTGATTCTTAATCAAGGATAAATGTAAATGTCTATGGACCATAGTATCCGCTTACCATCAGATGGGTTGTGTGCTCGTTTTTCCCTTATTATATATATAAAGAACGACTAAAAAAATGTGATGATATTAAAATTTAAGAAAACTTAAAAAACGCGCATTGACCATGAGCTGTGATGATTCTAGAGAGAATTATCCTGATCCTGATAAATATATCAGGTTAAAGTTATTAAAATTATTGTATTGTCATTGGTCCTTGATACGAGAGCAAATTTTCAAGTCAATCGGCTCAGTCTGCAACTTGGTGAAAATTACAATAAAAGATTCCTTTACATAGATAGATAGATAGAGATACACGGGAAGCTAATAAAAGCGTGTTAAAAAAGTACTACTCTTAACAATTGATACATAGTTACATAGGTACACATAATGTGATATATGCTATTTTTTTGCGAGTTCATAAGAAGATTTTAGTTTTTTACTCAATTTTTCCACATCTTTTAACAACTTTGCTGCTTCTTTCGCTAGTTTTGTCTCCTTTATTTCTTCTTCATACGTATTTTTCTCTATACATTTTATGAGACTTAAATCAAATGTAGACAAATCCAACATAATATTGTTATATTCTTGTTCTAAAGCCAAAACCAAATCTAAAGTACTAAGATTTGTCTCATTTGGTGCAATCAATTGTTCGTAGGCAAATTCTACATAGTTGAAAATTTGTAGAGGCGCCTTGGAAGACACTAGGAATTTAAATTTGTCTTCTAATATTCTGTAAAATTCTCTTTTCAATTCTATTTCTCGCCGTTCATTTTCCTCTATGCATTTTTCGATCTCGCATATCTGAAAATAAGACAAACATACAGCAAGGGGGAAACGAGAGGTGCCATGTCCCACGGCCCCGGGCTATAAACTTTAAAAGGCGGCATTTCGGGAATGAAAAGCAGTTGCCTAACAGGGGGAAATTCACCATAGTTGCCACTATTTGCAAGCTGGTTCACAACCGGCTTTTTATAATTTTCAGTTTTATTCATATTCAAATAATATACAGACTATTGAAATATTTTATAGATATTTCACATTTAAGATACTTCGAAAAAGAAATGGCGGTATATAATATTTTTGGCTATTGCGGCACCGGGCAGTAGCTAGGCATGCTACAACAATGCATAAAAACCAATCTTCTTATAATTAATAATACATTAAATTACCTTATCCTTTATATAATCCAGCTCATGCCGTAGTAAAGTTTTGAGAAGAATTGATGATTTTACAAATTTATTCTTCTCACTGCGAAGCTCCTCCGTTTTAAGGAGATAATTTAAATTTTGTTTTTCTAATAATTCAAATATAATTTGAATTTGTTCGGGAGTTTTAAAATATAGACGAGGTGGAGGCATTTTTTTCAATCTTTCGCTTATGAGGTTTACATCTATTTCATTAAAAATATCGGTGTCCATTGTAAAAATTTCCAATTGCCCCGTAACCAGTTTCAATTCCTGACTGTCTCGCCATAAAATTGGGGCAGCATTGAAAAGAAAATTTTGAAAAGACAGCAATATTTGCAAGGTTTCGTCAATGTATTGGAGTTTAGACTTGAGAGATGCGAAATCATAAATAGCTTTTTTGTGTTGCTCTATTTGGTTTGACAGCTCTTTGTCCAAACTATCCGAATTTCTCATAATAATTATGGTTTTATCGTTGTCGTCTGCTAGAAATTTGTTAAAGCTCTCTTGACATTCATAAAAATGTGTTGATGCAGTTTCGTAAATTTTCCTTTCCGTTTTGATATCTCTGTCAATACGCAGTATCTCATCTACTAGAAGCCCGTGAAGAGTTCGTTTTAAAGCAACATCTTTAATGTTTTGTTTATACTTACGAATAGATGTGTCCGGTCTTATCGGTCTACCATCTACCAACGAATAAAAATCAGGATCTACTTCTAAAATAGTCTTAATTTTGCTACCGTTTGGATCTTCCACAGGTGGAAGATTAAGGCCTGCTTTTCCGGGTGACTTTTTCAACAACTTGTTTTTGTACATCTTCGTAAACAATTATTTGATACACTTACTGCGTACCTAAATACTTTGAGAGTAGTTAGTTCAATATTACCATGGTAACTTTAACTAATACAGCTATACCAATAATAGCACTGGTATATAATGATCATTGTAGTATATTATGTACTTTTATTTGTTTATAATACAAAGTCATTAATAATAACTTTAATATTTATAAAAAATAAATATATTAATTAAGTATCCGTTGGTGACGCGATGTAATGTTCCCTAAAATTATAAGTCAGTTCCTATGAGATAGAACGTCTTTTATTTTGATAAGCAATTATTTGATGAAGATAAGCTTTGAATTAACTTAGAGCTACGTAATACGAATAATACGTATTAAATGCAATGTTGTTTATTATAATTTAGTGATGTGTTACGTATGTGTGATAAGCGTAAGGCACACGATAAGTGATAATGATAAGAGATAACGATCAAAAGATATAACTATATATAATGTTAGAAAAAGATAGTAATAAATGTTAAAAAGAGATGGTAATAGATGTCAGAAAGAGATATAAAAGTTAGAGAGAGAGATAGCGATAGAACTGTACATGGCCTATATGTGGAACATATGGATTCGTATATGCCCTAAAAATAAGTGGAACGAGCTTCACGACCGATGACTAATTGTATTTTGGAAATTAATTTTTATTATTGTAACTATCACACTGGGACGTCAAATATCTCAGACCCCCCCCCCCCGTGACAATAAGTACTGTAAAGCACCCGAAACGTTGGGAATTAAAAATAAGTTAATTAAACGCGATAAAATCCATATAAATAGTTTTATTCAATGTGAAGTGTTCGCGTAAATTTAAAAGAGGTTTGTTATATATTGAATTTTTTTAAATTAAAATACATTTGATTGTATCTGAATTACGTGATTTTATTATCTTAATCAAAAAAATATTTTTAACAAAAGATATAACAAGAATTATAATTCAAAGTTTTTAATCACTATCCGAGCTGGCCACACTTTGTTCCTCTTCCCTAGCGGTTTCCATTCCCTCTTCTTCAACCTCTTTTTTGGCTAGCTCCCAGGGCATAACCGGTAGGGGTTCCACAAATGAATCATCTATCTTGAGCTTGTACAGCAAACGTGGTGTGTAGTGAGTTGGTAAAGGCCATACACTTTCTAAAACAATAAATATTTTTGAACAACGATAACAACTTGCTTTTATTTAGTTGCCAATCAGTACGCTTGTAAATCACATATATCTATGATTACCATAAGCATTAATGATTACCTAAATAATTCCTATGCATATATTTTTAATCATATACCTCAGAGGGAATGTATCAATTATTTGTCCAAAAAGCAACCATCTAAGTGTTGCACCCTGCTACTAATTAAAATGGCTCCGCGTCTGATCCTCAACTGATGACCTAATATTCGACGCTCACAAATCATCACGCATTTACAACGAACACAAATCTCACAAAGAAGAGACTATTACCACTAGGAGAACATCCAGATTGTAATGATGGTAAAATCCTCCCTCCTAAAATCCATCCTAATACAAGGGAGCCTCTCGTCTAATAGTGAACTTTGTCGGTCTAATAAAGATATTTACAATAGATTCTATAGATATTTTATATTTGCTTATGGTGTTAGTAGATATTCAGATCTCATTCATACATTTTCATAATTTAAGACGTACCTTTTTGTTAATGGTAAGTTTAAGTTTTAGTGGTTCATAAACGAAGAAAACGACAAACAATTAATAAGCGAATTCATCTATAGTGTTCAAAAGCTCAAAAATAATTTAAAACTACGTTTCGATACTCGTGCGGAGTGCTGTCAGCACTCCAGACATTTTAGACCTTAAAAATTAATGCTAATTTGTTTGTTTATGAATGTGTGCGTTTGAGTAGCTTCAAGTAATGGGACATTTACATTATCGCCACGAGCAACTCGCCGAGTTATTCGTGGATGAGTACGATGCGTTTAGTCGTCTGTATTCATTCAATGTAGATCAATTAAACATGGATAACGTGCATCTCGTTGCCACGATTTTATGTCAGTGTGTAATATTTTATAAACTCACAAATATTTATTTGGAGCGCGTCGCATGGGACTGCAAGACATGCAGGAAATCAATGGATGCAGATGGCTCAATACCGTACTTTGTGGCATTCCTTGGGTGAAGCCTATGTTCAGCAGTGGATTTGTAAAGGGCTGTAAAGATGATGATGACGATGATGATGATGATATATTTATTTTAATCGAAATTTATTAAAACTGATTTTATTTTCTAGGAACTCATATCACGAGTTCTCCTTGATAAATTTCTATAAAAATAGTATATTCGTTACTCCAACCCCTCACAGTAGGTAGGTATTTTTATTATTATTATTTTACTAAATTATTTTATAAGAAAAATAATAACCACCTGCAACAAAGTTCACGGGTCTAGTGAATAATGACGAATATGTAAACACCGACATGAATATACACGAGCATTCCTTTTACTCGTGCCAAAAAACCGATATCGAGTGGAGAACAGGCGAATACTCGGGCCGAGTAGCGAGAACACCCGAACAAGGCGTTTACATGATCGTACTCGTGCCTAATCGTCTGTGCTCGGCGAGTATATAAACGTTACATAACCTCTGAAAGTGACGGAAAGAGGTGGGAGGAACAGTACAGCGCTTGTTTCTTGGGTACCCACGACCCGCCATTTATAGAACTAAATACGGTCGGTGTACGGTATAACTAATAATATCTATACTACTAAAAGAAAGACAATATTTTGTAAAAGATTACCGAAATAAAAGACATAGTCGTCTACTCTTCTATGAAAGTGCATGACACGGCGAAGTTCTAGAATGTACTGAGATCCCAGCAAAAAATCTAGCAAAGCTACTTCAGGTAAGACTTCCATTTTCGGATCCACTGCGCTTAAACCTTCAAATGTCAACTAAAATAGTAAGCAAAATTGAATAAAGCAGTTAGAAAACACAAATTTTGTTTGAATAATATATGTTATAAAGTTATAATATTTATAAATTTGTAATCGGGGATAAATGTAGATGTCTATGAGCCACAGCATCCATTTAACATCAGGTGGACTGTGTGCTCGTTCGTCACCCTTATTCTATAAAAAAATGAAATAGAGAGAGCACCTGTGCTTACGCACAGGCAGCCATACACAATGACACCGCTCAGATGGCTAGTATCCGTTAACAAGAACATTATTATATTTGTAGTTAATTTTTTTACGTGTGTAGGGTATGTTATATTATCTATTACGAACGACTCGACCCGACTTCGTCGTCGTTCGGGTAAAATCTGTCGTTGTGACGTTATTTAAATTCAAGACAAAGACCATTTTCCGGAAAAAACATACTTCAAGTTTTTTGGATAAAATTTAGTCCAGATTACTTCTGGCATTGCTATCCACGCTAATTTCATTAAGTCTCTCATTTCATGAAGTTTTAGTACAATCGCTTCTGCCATTCCGAAGTTTAGCTTGGAGAGACAGACCATCACACAAAAATTTAAAAAATGGTTATTTTAATATTACAGACGGAGAATTCAATTTTATATTTTAAGGGGAAATATAATCTCAAATGGCTTAGCAAGATCCTTCGTTATTCCGAAAATATTGCAGCATTAATTTTGAAATAAATATATGGTAAAGTTGAGGATTAAAGGATTATGTTAGACGAAAATACGATTTCGTAAAATTTTCTCGATAGAAAAGAAATCCAAAGTTACCTCCAAAATAAACAATAAACCGCTGTTATTCATAAAATACTTTAAATAAGATCATGAAATTTTGAATACTAACTGAACTAACTATAAAGCAGTGCTTATGTTATTTACTTTTTTTTAAAATACCATTACTTTCACTGTAAAAAGAAATTACCTAAACTATCGGCCTCTTGAAGCGTAATTCCTGCCGCCCGGTCACTTCGCCTCGGCCTTTGAAGGGGGAGGTTGTGTCGCTTACGATCAGAATATACATTACGCAACAGGACGACGTAAAATTAAAATGGGAAATAACCGTAATAAAAATAAGAAGCGACTGGCTTGGCGTTAAGAAACAGGCATAAATATTATAAACCTAATGAAATAAGTGTCTAACGACCTTTCTACCCACAGTATTAGTGATTACAAACATGTCGGTACATAGCATACGACGCGCGGGCAAGTGGGGATGAAATTAGAATTTGAGCTGACTTACTATATCCCCTTAAGTACAGTTTTATTTTGATCTTTATTGTTACACCTTACCTAACAATCAATGAACCTAATTGTAAATGTAAAAAATCACTTAAGAAATTACAAAATAATTCCTTACTTTCAGATTGTCCTTAGCAAGTATGCAGAGCTTCTTAATCTTATCAAGAACAATCCGCAAATGCTCCATGTGTTCAGAAAAGGGTCCGTATACATCCAGTTTGTCGATTAGCGATAACGGTCGGGCTTTTAGCGCTCGCCAACCATTGAACATCCGCTGCATTTTTAATCAAAATTACTATAGAAGGTAAATGTAAAATTAAATAAATATTATACTTTTATTCCAGTGGGGTTCGAACCACGAACAGAGAGCGCTTAGCCCCTGAACTACCACAGCTACACGTTGACAGAAAACATTATGAGGAAACCTGCATGTCTTAAAAATTAAAAAAATATTTCGAAGACATGTGACGTCCACCAACACGCATTGGGGCAGCGCGGCGGACATTTCCCAGCCTTAAAAATACCTTCTCAGAAATGAGAGGTGGTCTGTGCCTGTACAAAGGAGAAAGACGTAGTACGCTGTAACATTAATTATATTTGATTATGACGTTGCGTTCTGGACACATTCCTTGCAAGAAGCTTGCTTTTCTCATAAATAAAGTCCCGTCACCGAACTGTGAACAATGCGGTGTTCCCGAGGACCTAATGCATGTCTTGATGGAGTGTGCCTGCAATGCTGCCTTTCGAATAGCTGAGTGTAAAAATATTTTAAAAGAATTTTCTGACTGTAACATTATTTTATCCAACCCTCATTCCGATGAAACAAAATTACTGGTTAAATTGTATAACATAGTGTTCTCTTCAGATCAGTTAACTAGATAGATTTTTTTCTTTTTGTTTGCTTGCTAAATTGAATGTTATTTAGTTCGTAATGATGTCAAATATAGCGACATAATCGCATTTTGGTTAAGCTCTTCAAATAAAGATTTTAAAAAAATGTATCATCTTTATATATAATCGTCGCTGCGTCTGTTAGTGATCGTGTAACTTCTCGACGACTTAACCGACTAAGGTCATATTCGCACTATAAATATCACTACTCATATTCGCACTATCAATATCACTACTCATATTCGCACTATCAATATCACTACTCATACCGATGGACAATCAAAGATCACTACTGAACGAAGGGCTCCTCATAGATTGTTACATATTGGTCACGCTAGCAGACCGACTGGCAACCGCAGTTTTGTTTTAATTCTCTGCTTACGAGACCCGAGGAACAATATGGGTTAAAGGATATTCTTACACAGTCGCTACACCGCTACTTCATATTTTATACTTGATACCGGAAGACCAACGAAAAGGTTTACCAACGTGTAGAGGGCCAGCTAGTAATAGTGTAAAGATATACATACATTTGGTAAGGTACAATGGAATACTTTATACAAAAACCTACTCCCTCCTTCATTCAAACTAAGGGTTCCCTTAAACTGTTCCATAATTTTTATTAAGCAAATTTTGTGGGTACGCCATTAATAGCACAGTTGGTGTTCTGGTTGGCCTCATGGTTGAGCGTATAAATCTCTCACAGCAAGCAATCTCCGAATAAGGCGAAAACAATCTTGTGAGATTCAATGCCGACACAGTCTCTTCACAGCAAAAAGTAGCCAGCTCACCTTGGCTTCTTCTTTCCGAAATGTATAATTAAAATTCACCGACCACCTTCTAATGCTGAAAGGAATTTGGGCGTCCTCGCAAAGGAGCAATTCCGGTCTCACATGGCGCCATATGTGGGCTGGTGCTGAATGCCACAAAGCGACTTTGGACACAATGGAAGGTCTGCTACGAGGCTTATTGGTGACACCAATGATTAATACTTATCTTACCAGTCTCGGAAACAAGCGTAAGCGTAGACAGTATTTCGGTGTTCTACATTTCGGAGAGTGTGCGCAGGAATAGCTTGACTTAATTCCCCCTCTCTGTTCCATTATCTGACCACAATACACTCGATTAGTCTCTTTCGCTGTCGGACATTTTCAAACCAAATTATGTTGGGTTAAGTTTAACTTATTTTTAGGTTAAGATTTACTTGGTTCATAATGCCTTGCAATGCCAGCGTATGTTTTGCCATCCGATTACAATACATATGTTTTCAAGGTAAGAGTGAATTGGCTTTTGTTAAGCTAAGTCAGTGGTGCGCTTTACCATCTTCATCTGCATCACCACTTGCCACCATGTGGGATGGTAGACAGGCACTGGCTTATATCAGGTAAAATTACTTAGCAGCGGATCATAAAATTTAAACACTGCTGATGCGGATGAAGCGAGAATAATGAAGTAAGAGGCGTTTATGAAATAACGTCTTTACTTAAGTACTTTATAATAAAATAAACAAAGAAGTACATGTATATGACAAAACATATCATAACTGTAAAAAACTTTTGTTGAAATGGATTCAACATAAGACATATGACGAAACTGAGAAGCTTCTGGATCGTGTTATATGACACACACACACACGTGCGTGCGCGCGCGCACGCACGCACGCACGCACGCACGCACGCACGCACGCACGCACGCACACACACACACACACACACACACACACACACACACACACACACACACACACACACACACACACACACGTATACATAAATAAATAAACTTTCACACACATACCGTACAGTATTTATAAGTAGACTAGTTCCTATCGTTTGATTGTCCCAATTTTAGAATATAAGTAATATATAGATAACTTTATTATAGGATATAGAATATGTTTACCCACACTGCCATGTAACACGAATATAGTAATGGAAGGGTGGACCCTCCAAACACAGGTATTTTTTTTGCTTAAATGGAGGTTCCAATCTACTAGTTCTTAAAGGTATGTACTTTTAAAACGAAATAAAATGTATTTATTATTATTATTATTTTAAGTTGTCGCAAAGCAGCAGTTTCCACTTTTCAAAAAATCACTTATGATTATATATGTCTGTAAGCAATTGCTGAAAGTTTTGAAAAACGACACCTTTCTTGTTTAAATTATAAATTCTACGTAATGCACGTGTAAATGCAACATAGTTTTTATAAAATATGAGTAGATGCAAATTAGTACCGTTTGCACAGAATGATAAACCATTAAGGACTTTAATCGCTTAAAAACTATTTTTTTTGATTTTGCAGTTTGTGAATCAAGCATAGTTGACAACGATTCCGCAGTCTGACCATCAGTACTACTTTCATCTTTTTCTTCTTCTTTATCCTGTTCCCTCTTTTCCCTTAGCCATTGAACCTCAAGATTTAACAGAAATCTTAGCTGTCGATGAACCGTGTCTTCAGAGCCCTACAAAATTAATTAAGTAAATAAATATAAACGTTTAAATATTGTTTAGTTTCCGTTGCAGTAATGAAAGAAAATATAATGAGACACACAATTTTACGTGGTAGAGCCAAGCTGCAGCTATATTAGAAGTATAGTTATAGCACGATTGAATCGGCTCAAACGAGGGAAAATAACGCTCTCACAGAATATCAGCGTAAAATAGTGGCTTAACGTTACTGTGTTTCGTATGATGAGTGTAGAGAATCAAAAACCCTTTTTACTGGAAACGAGGCATTTCGTCTTAGTCCTCACGGGTGACAACGCATCTACATTTTGATTCGTAATCGAAGACAGATCCACTATTACTATCAGGTGGACTGTTTGCTTGTTGTCACCCTAATAAAAAAGTAACAACCTCCATGATTGAATATTATAAAATATTTCTTCAACATGCACGTGGCCATTTAACAGATTCAAAAATTAAAGAAGTCCTAGTAGGAGGAATTTACTTTCATTATCTGTTCAACTCTTTCAATAATAATTCTGAATATTCCTCAAATAACGAAAACAATGTTTTTATTTGCAAACTAACACATACTCCACCTCAATAATATGTACAAAATAGCTGTCATACACCAGTAGCACGCCAGCCACATTTATATCGCAATAACTTGAATTAACATCTTGTATTGTCTTTGAAAATAATTTTACAATTTCCTCTTTCTTCAAAGTATGTTCGCCAGCATATATCATACGTATTGCGTAGGTTTTCTAGAATTTTAAATATATAGTTAATAAATAATATAGTAAGTACGTTCAGAATAAAGTGAAATTTAGGTAGGAGTAATTCGAAAGAATTAATTTGTATTTTCTCAACGCAGTTTAAATGATTTCTTACTAAAATCGATTTGCAATAAATTTTAGCCTCCGTCCAAACAGGGCGATAGATCGCACGACCCCATATGAAGACGGCGGCAACTTGTAACGCGGAATGTTAGGTCACAGCTGTAGGTATGGCAGCTGCTGCTTCCATTAGTCGGGGGGTCAATCGAGCGAAATTCTCGCGAATGTTCCAGCGGCTATCGAGAATGAGACCAAGTTATCTCATATTTGACTCAACCGCGATGCAGACGTCACTGACAACTATCTGGGACTCCAATGGCGGTGCTTTCTAAGATCTGTGAAGACTCATGGCCTCGCACTTTTCCAGCGCCATTTTAAGTCCCAAGTTTTGATCGATTATATCCTGCTAACAACCTGTGCCACTGATACAGAGGTAAGAATGGTAGCCTCTTCATAGGTCACACCACGGGCGATGATAAATCTGCATAGCATATCATATTTACACCCGGGGGTAGAATGTCCCGCAACATCCAATCGTAGCCAATGTTCCACAGAAGCAGTCCTGTTGCTGAACCTTGTGGAAAACCAAACGACATTTCCTGTTCTAATATTCAACCTTTCCGTCCAGGGTACGAGAGGTAGTCCTCTATAGTGCGACGAAGACGGGGAGGCACTTTTTGGTATTTTAATGTCAGCCCAGGGCCGAGAGCTAAAAGTGTTGGCGATATTTAAGGATACCGCCAGCAGCATTCCACTCTGCGCTATCACCTCACTCGAGTGGGCTAGGAACAGGGGTTGGCGACTCTTAGTAAACGGAGGCGTCCGGGGCCGGATTTTGTTCCTAACCATTTTAAATGGGCGCTTCCATAGAGCCCGGTTAAGAGACTCCAGGAGCTCTTCACTCGCGCGGGTCTAATGCTCTCGGATGGAAAGCTTTAAAGCTTTTAGACGGTCCCTGTAGAACTCATACAGCTGATCTTTCATTGAACCATTCCGGAGCTGCCATCTGCGATACCGAGTACACAGGCGTCTCGCTTCCACGCACCAACTCGCAGATTTGCGATTTCTCGAGACAACGCACCCAGATAGTGCCAGTACCCGTAGCATCAGGAATCTCTCCTGCCTTGACAGCATCGACTAAACAGCTTGCCGTGCACCGATCACCCTTTAGTGAGCTTGTGAATGGCTGCGCCGTTATCCCCAGCAGCAGGTTAGGAAACTATGCTTCTTCTTGCCTCCCTTTACCACTGTCGATCAACCTTCATTCGTTGATTCAGGCGGAGGAGATAGTGGGTGAGGTTTTTTCTGTTTGGATACCTTAAGAGTGACCCCCCTGGTTTCTTTCTTCCTGTTTGTGCTCTGTAGCGGTCCTGTTACGCTTGTTATTGCTGCTGCTGCTGCATTCTGTTGATCAGCAGCCATTGAATAGCTTTATGGTGAGCGTTAACCATGCTGCCCACTTGACATATGATAGCACTCATCATTTCCTCTAATTATAGTTGGGCTGGTGATATTACCGGTGCTTCAGTCCGACCTGCCACTACTGGACAGTGAAGGTAGTTTGGCTCATGCCACCTCCACCTGGAGCTCCGTCAATTCATTACGAAGTTCATCAATCTCTCGTTGCAGTTGGGCGTTTTCGGCCTACAATATAAATACCACCCCAGACCTAGATTATCTACCGGTCATACCTGTCTTGAACACTTAAGGAAAATAGCATCTTAGGTACGGAGCAAATATTTCGAACAGGGATCGTCCACCACCTGCTAAGTGATAAAGAAGATATACTTAATCAGGAAAACCTGTGTCCAATACTCCTTCCTCCCAGGCCGATAACATTTGTACGTGATAAAGCCATGCTGAGGCTATATTAGGATTGTAGAATAAATAAGTCGACTCGATAAGGAAAGACCACGCCTTCAAATAATACTACAGTTTCATATGGTGATAAATTTGAAAATGGGCCAAATTAGGAGCATGTATGCGTAGGTATATGGATGTGAAGGAGGCGTGAGAGGTGTGTCAGGATCGTGCCAAATGGAAGTCTGTAGTCTCTGCCTACCCCTCTGGGTGACAGGCGTGAGTGTCTATTTTTATGTTCATATGGTGAGTGTAGATAGCCGGAGACCCCTTTTACTCGTAATACATCTGCATTTTGATTATTAATGAAGGCAATAGCCTATATACATCTACATCTATCGTATTGGCTTACCATCAGGTGAACAGTGACCGAGACGCTTTAACATACTCTAGTTCATGAGTTCCTAATTCACGAAGCTTTCAATTAGAACAAATGAGCCATTCTCATTTATAATTATTTATGTATTTAAAAGAATTATAATGAAGTTAACGTACTAAATATTACTAACCAATCCAATACGCTGGAAGTTTTCTTCTACAACATTTAATACAGATCTGTTCTCTAGATTAGGCAACGCCATATTTTAAACCATGAAAATAGTTTAATGGCACTACGTTATTATGCACGTTTTTTTTTTTCAATTTAACTATACATATCATTGAAACATGTAAATAGTATTTCATAAACTACCAATAATTGTCAGTATGTTACCATAGAAACCGCTTGTAACCTTAGAGAATATAATCACTACGTTTAACTGATAATGGCAAAACAGTTGGTTAATCAGAGAGTAGGTTTATTCTCCTATAAAATCATTATATAAAGTTAGGAAGTAGCATATAGCAACACGGGCCGCCGACGTACCCGTACCTCTAGTATATAGTCAGTAATCTATGGACGTACCGGAGATAGTAGCCATACGCAGGCTTTCCCCTGTGCCAAAGTATAAGTCCAAATATGACACAGCGGATATATCACAGAGTACCTTTATTATATACGGATATATGCGTACAATAAAACTAACACAACCGCACTGCTCTTGCGCGACTGATTTGACATCCGTCAAAAATGCCAAATTGTTCAGATTTTGCTGCAAAAAGAGATCTGCCACGTTAAATTTACAAAAAGAAGGCGTTACTTCTTATAATTATGTAATTCTTAATGATATTGGCACTATTTATTACTTAAAAATTACAATAATGACGGTCCATAGTTTCCACAATAACAGTCGTGGTGTTTACCAGCACATGCCGCTCGCCTCCAACTTTGAGTAATCAACCATACAATATGCCTTTCGGTCGAGCGACTGACCAGAGTCTGTATCCAAGTTGCCCCTGTCACCGAGAGATAGTCTTGATGGTTTGCAAATAGATGGCAAACGCATAATATGATTTAATATAGCCGTGGCTCTCACGCACATCATTATTTTTGAGATTGTATTCGGAGTTATTTGATATATATTGAGTTTTATAGTACAATTGAATATCAAACTTGCATCAAATTAATATAATACAATACTTACGAGTATTAGTAAATTATATTAAAATAATTAACTGTAAATGTCGACCACATTGTTTTTATTTATTTATTGCAGGTTTCCTACAGGTCAGAGTTTAAGAGATATATGGAACTTTTGCAATAACAGGCTCACCTGGCCTCTAACTGTAAAATTGAGCCAAATATAGACACAAGGAACTCCACACACACAAACAGCCTTATAGATGATGTACTATCCCCGTATGGCTCCGACGGGGACAAGGCGATGTCGCCTTTTCTCAAGAAAGCAATATTTATTTCCTTCAGATCTTCGATCTTAACGGGGGAGCCATATTTTTAATAAATGATCGAATGAACGAACATGCAGCTCACCTGATGGCGAGTGACCACCTAGTTACCAGCCTATCAAAAAAGTTGTCTCCTCTTTTGAATATTGCTACGCCGTCTTGGTCCATAAAATTGCTGGTGGTTTGGGAACTGGAAATAATCCAAACAATTCCTCTTAGCACTTACCGAGGTTAATGCGACAAAAATGCAAAGGGATGGAAATGTAATAGGAGGGGAAAGGAAATATCTCTTCACAGCTCCAGTAAATCGAGATCAGTAAGAACTTTGAAGAAATTGCTACGGATTTAGTAGTTGGCTTAAAACTGGAATTCTTAACAAATTTATCAAAAAATACAAACCTTAAAATGTGAGTTAGTGCTCTCACAGTCTATCAGCTAGATTTTAGAAAGTACTTAAAAATAAAGTTCTTGAGATTACAAACACTTACCAAGTAAATTACTTGTAATTAAAGTTAGTTTGCTAAATAACAAATCACAAAGTGTCTTCAGTCCACACAAAAAATTATATTAGTGGAAATTTCTCAATTAAAGCTTACTTTTTCCAAGAATTCTATTTAGCCCCTAAGTTTTAATAGTCTTTAAGTATTTAAAAAAGAAATGGAGCAAAATGCTGACGCAATTTTTAAATAACAACTGTTAAAACAGATCGTCAAAACATTTCTCTTGTCTACATCTACAATCACAATATTATATCGTGTGCTGTTTGACAAAAGGAATAAGATAAGTCTGGTGTTCTTACCTTTTAGTAGGTTTCTACTAAATTATCAAAAACTTAAAATTGATAACTTTGAACTGAGATAATCGTAGTAAGTATATTACTTTTTTTAAATATATCTACAGGCTTATTAGTAAACAATTTATTGTAATTCCTAAGACGAAAACGCTTTACGAAAATATACACTTGAAAACTGATTCGTTGGTCTAGTGGTCGTAAACACGACTGCTGATCGTGAGGTCCCGGGTTCAAATCTCGGGTCGGACCAAAAAAAAACCAGTTATTGTATTTTTCCGCCAAGAAAATAATTTTCAGTAGTGGCCCCCGCACCTTGGAAAGAAAGAAAATCCGTTGGTCGTGCGCCTGATCTCTCTCCGATTGTGTAGGTTAATAGGTAGGTTTACCGTCATCGGACTATGAGAGTGAGGAAATAGAGAGTGCACCTGTGCTTGCGCATACACTTGGGAACTTTAATCCTGTCCTGCGCCGATGGCTAGTCTCAGTTGAGACTGGCTGTCTTGACCGAAAATCGGCCTGGAGGACATTATTATTATTATCATTATGCTTAAAAACATAGTTTGGAATCTGAATAAAAAAGATTGCCTTTAATAAAAAAACAACAAAAAAGAAGGAAAGTTCTAAGATACTTCATCGTTTTCTTCACATAAAATTTTAAACCAATGTTATATTAATATAAGCTAGCTCCAAGTCATCATCATTCATCAACACAACCCTTCACAAGTTCACTTCATAACACAGGCCTACCCTTAGGAATGCCACAAAACACTTTACTGAGCCACCTGCATTCATCGACTTCCTCCACGTCTTCTTACCAGGTCGTCACTCCATCTAGTAGGTGTTGCCCTACATTTCGCCTAACGGTAAGAGGCTGCTACTCGACTCGAGAACCTTGTTGCCCCTTCGTTTGTCGGTTCTTCGAGTTATAACGGCTGGCCCCTTTCCACTTCAGCTTACTAATCCGTTGGGCTATGTCTGTCACTCTGGTTCTACTGCGGATATCCATATTTCTAAGTTTATCACGCAGAGAAAAGAAACCCCGAGCATAGCCCTTTCCATAGCTCGCTGACCGACCTTGAGCGTCCTCACACGGCCAGCAGTGAAGGACCACATCTCAGATCCATAAGTTATCACTGGCAACACGCACTGGTTGTATAATCTCGTTTTCAGATTTTGAGGTATACCTGACGAGAAGATGTGTCATAATTTCCTGAACTCTGCCCAGCCGAGTTGAATCCGTCGCGACGGATCGGACGGTCGATTGACCTCTCGGTCAAAGTTGGACTCACCTAGTCGGACTATATGTCTCAGGTAAACGTACTCGTTAACAACTTCGAGCTTAGTGCTCCGAACAACTACCGGCATAGGCGTGACATGGAAATTACACATGGTCTTTGTTTTGTTCATGTTCATCTTAAGACCTATATTCGTTGGGAGAAACTATTGAGGTCATTGAGCATAGTGCTTAGGTCCTCCAGCGATTTGCTATAAGTACTATATCGTCGGCAAATCGAAGGTGAGTGATGTACTCGCCATTGATATTAATACCGTATCATTTCCAGTTCAGTAGCTTGAAAATATCTTCCATGGATAAAGAGTCCCTCTTTCTCCATGAAGACGGCGAACTGCTGGCCCCTTGTGTTTCGTGGCCCTACCCCAAATGTCCTTGCCTTCAGCTCACCGTTCTCTCTTGTGCTTGGTTTTGCTTGAAGTCTCCCATTAACACCGTATAGTGGGTTTTGGAGGAATGCATGGCTCTAAAGATATCCTCATACATTTCCTCCACCTCCTTATCGAGATGTGCTGAGGTTGGTACGTAAACCTGTATGACCTTCAGCGAAAACTGTTTGTTGATTCTGAGTATAAGGTACGCAACCCTCGACGACACACTTGCAATCTTTACAACGTTGTTTACGAGACTTGTGGACGATAAATCCGACAGCTGCTTGGGACAGATGATCGCCCTCCCGGTAATAGAATAAATTGCCGGATTCGAGGATCACCGTGTCCTCCCCCTCTCTTCGGATCTCGGATAATCCTATAATATTGAAGCAAAACTTGTCTATCTCTTCTTATCGTCAGTCCACAGAGTGCGTGCGTTGTGTGTTACCAGGTCGAGTCGTCTTAGGTGGCAACTGAATCTCCCAACGGTCGCAGTTTTTTTTAGAAAGATGCTACTGCCCATCTCTTACTTGTCTCCCTCTGTCGCCTTTTACGACACTCACGGGAAGATATGGGGTAGTAGATATTCTTAATCGCCACAACACGGTACAAGTACATTTGTAATTTTCTATTACTGTAATTAATCTTTCGAAATCCACCATTTTTGTTTTTAATAACATACTCTGTTATAAGTTATAACACTGGTGCATGAAACGGAAATTGTTTTCATTATCCGTGTGATCAACTTCATATGTTATTGAAAAGCACCACCCTCTTGGATTAAAAATAACGGTTTGGATGTCCGAAAAATCACGACCATTCAATAATTTTCTTATGCGTCAAATTGAATCTAACACTACCCAAAGAATTCCCATCTCTGGGCTGGGCTCCCCAGTGCCAGCTCCTTCCATTTGATCCCATCCAGCGCAGAGCTGTTCGAATCGTCAGCGACCGAGCTCTTTCCGATGGGCTTGGCTCACTGGCACTGCGAAGCGAATCTCTTTGTGTATTTTATCGCATACACCAGGAGTTCTGAGAAATTGCTCGCACAATTTCACCTTCGAACATCGCGACAAAACTCGCGATACCATCCATCCATCTGGATGACTGGTGGTCTACGATTTAAAAGAGTGCGATATAAACAGATAAAAATCTGAGGTTGAAAGGACAATATGGTAGCTGCATTAACACTTCCCAACCAAGCTCTCTCAATCTTGCTAAGTGGCCAAAGGTGTGTGTGTGGTCTGGCGTTATCATGATGAAAGACCACTCCTTTTCTGTTGAATAGCTCCGGTCGCTTTTTCTCAATTTCTTGCTTGATTTTCATTAGTTGTTGGCAGT